CCCCCCCCCCCTCCCCCTACCATAATTTGGGGCACCACCGCTCTAAATATTGGGTCAGGTCAACTTTTAAGTACACGATAAATAATGCTTGTACTAACTGTCGTTACGCTTCTACTGTTTGAAAAGGGTCTTCATGGCGACCTTTAAAAGTGTGGCCTGGCCTTGTGGCAGACGCCCGTCGTGCTTAGCCACGCATGCCGTTCTTGCCTTTACCTGCAAGGTTATTTTTGGGCTTCCTAAAAAGGGCCCGAATTTGATTAAAAGCCATGCTTGAACTAGTTCAAATATAGTGACAGGAGAAAAAGAAACGAGGGTAGATGCCATTGTCAGTACCCAAGCTCTGTGAAGGGCGATCACTCCAAGTGTAGCCTCCGATATGTGACCTGACAGTGTATTCAGATGTCAGAAATTAAGGCTACACATGATCGTAGACACTGGTTTTATTTCTATCCGAACCAAAGCAATAAGAGACAATCAAATTTCCGCTATAGAAAAGGAATAATAATAATTAACTTTAAAGATAATAGTCAACAAAATAGCAAAACAATTAACAAATACTGTCATAACATGACAAAATACGCACACATATTACAATCAAAATGACAGTTGGACCACGCTGAATGAATGTTTTCGCTTTCTGTAGGACCAGGCTGATCGAAGGACTTTAGTGTCTGAAGGACCAGGATGAACAGATGACTTGATTCTCTGTAGGACCAGGCTGTATGGAGAATGTGTCTGTAGGACCACGCTGATTGGAGGACTTTGCCGTCTGTATAGGCTGAATAGATGATTTGATTGTCTGTAGGACCAGTCTGTATGGAGAATGTGTCTGTAGGACCAGGCTGTATCGAGAACGTGTCTGTAGGACCTAGGTGATTGATTGACGGCTGTCTGTAGGACAAGGTTAAATAGGTGACTTGGCTGTCAGTAGGACAAGGCTGTATAGCTGACTTGACTGTCTTTAGAACAAAGCGCTATGTTATTGATTCACAAGGCTTGCATTCCATTTCGTTGGACATGGATGAAGTCATAGGTAGTGAAAGAACCAAACTATTCAGCGGATTAAAATGCAGGCTCGGAAAAAGAATACAAAATCAAGACTCAGTATTTAAATATTTAATTTTTGCCGTTCAACAATTGTTTTGAAGCACACAACTATTTGAGCTATTTGTTGGCATGAAAATTAAAAGGATGCATTTTGAAAAAAAACTTAACAAAATTCAGTTGATGTTAATAAAACTTGTACATGTATGATAAGTCTTTGCATGGCACCCTCGTTATAGAGTATCCAGGAGGATAGCCATCGTTTGTGCTTGTTTTACCTTTCATGTGTCCTTGATGGACAAAACAAATATCGTATTCATAAATTCTTCTTGCTATACTCAGACTGTCGTGGGGAACTGGAAACTTCATGCCCTCGAAAATGGACTCGCCCAAAGGGAAAACGAATCTCGTCGGGTAGATGTAAGTTCTCCGCGTGTAAGATGTAGCGGCCCACACGTAGGATTCGTCCATTCTGCAGAAAAAGATGTCCACGAACGGGTAGTAGCGCCCGTTGTAGTGGAGCTTCCAATGTCCAGGGTGAAGTTTGTTTAACGCGAACCCTTCAATACAAGACAGAGCCTTCTTGACCAGTCGCCAGGCGTCCAGACTGACCGATATGTCGAGGTCGTCGTCCCAAGGGACAATACCACCGTGTCGATTCAAGCCCAACAAGGAACCCGCCACCAAGAAATACTTCACGCCAACAGAGTCTAGGGCTGCCGATAAAACTTTAAATAAATATAAAATCTCAAGTTTCTGGGTTTGGTTCAAAACGGGCAAGAACCGTCCTTGGCCTTTCTCCAGAGCCACGTTTTTCACTTCCGGCGTTCGCAAGTGATCGTAAATCACCGTGGTCGACGGCAGGATATCGTTTTTGTTGACTCGTGGTTTGTCAGAAACCGAACAGGATACATTTGATAACACCCCCTCGGGAAATATCTCTTCGCCATAATGTATCCTGATCAGGTCAGTGGTCTCGACTTCAAGCCATGCGTAGTCAACGGCGGAACGGAGGATGACATTGCGTACAGGAAGAACGAATAGTGTAATGTACACCAAAGTCAAAGAGGTGAGCATCATGGCTACAATCTTGTATTTTCCACTCCACATTCTCGGAAACATTGTGCGCATTGCATTGGTTGAGAAGTTGGCCATCTTGTAAATTGGTGTCTTTGAGGTCAACGAAATGATTCCCAGCGTTATGTCCCCTTAAGCTGTGCAGACAAATCCACCCCCTTGCTGTGGTCTGTTAAATCGCCTCGTATTGAAATATTAAGCTCCGTTTTCCCAAAAGTTTTGGGATTAAAATAGACATTAAATATTTAAATAATTTATTGCTATTTTTTTGAAAATTTATAATCAATTCATAATGAATATGGATGAGGATATGTGTGGATGGAGGATACAAACCAATCAGGAATTGTACAGTCTATATCAGGATCCCCCGCTAGAAGCAGAAATAAAAAATGGGCAGGCTGGGCTGGGCTGGACACTTAAAAAGAATGACAAATGGGTAAAGAGGATACATATCACAGAGGACAAGTGCTCAAAGGCAGACCTAGGCTTAGATGGATGAATGATGTTGAAAAATATCTACAAAAGCTGGGAATCAAAGCACGGAAAAAAACAAAAACATTAGTTAGGTCTGAGTGGAAGTAAGTAGTGAGCAGGCCATAGCCCTAAATGTACTGTAGCGCCACAGGGATGGATGGATGGTCTGAGTGGAACGAACTAGTGAGGCACTCCAAAGCCCCACATGGACTGAAGCGCCACAGGGATCGATGGATAGATGGTCTGAGTGGAAGGAACTAGTGAGGCAGGCCAAAGCCCCACATGGACTGAAGCGCCACAGGGATGGATGGATAGATGGTCAGAGTGGAAGGAACTAGTGAGGCAGGCCAAAGCCCCACATGGGCTGAAGCGCCACAGGGATGGATGGATAGATGGTCTAAGTGGAAGGAACTAGTGAGGCAGGCCAAAACCCCACATGGACTGAAGCGCCACAGGGATGGATGGATAGATGGTCAGAGTGGAAGGAACTAGTGAGGCAGGCCAAAGCCCTACATGGACTTAAAGCGCCACAGGGATGGATGGAATGTTGGATGGAATTTTGAGAACTTAAAAACACAAACCTTTAGATTATTTTAGTTTTACACTGGCAATTTTTGGGCATCGTTATTTAAAAAAAGAATGAAATAATGGATGTTGTTTAACAATGAGTATTGTTTTCATTGGACTCTCTGTTCTAGATTGAGCATTATATCGCAATGATTGTTGTATTTCATTGGTTATTTTATTATATTGCCCGTTGTATTAATAGTATCATTCATACATCGCAAAAATCTAAGTTTTTTTTTTTTTTTTTTTTTTTTAAATTTCTCTAAATTTTTTATTTTTGGACCTCAATAGATTTCATTATTTTATTTTAAAATAATGTTGATTTTTAAGATAAAATGTAGACTATTTCATATTGAAACTAAAAAAAAAAAACTTGACAAAACTACATAAAAACCAACTAATGTAAGTTACCTTGTTATTTCAAAAGCTGGCACATAATTTTTAAATTTTTTTTTTTTTACTGTAAACGAACTACACTATTTACCAATAATTTCTCTATTAAAAAAAACAACAACACCAATTTCAATTCATAAATAAATTAAAAATATCTTTATCACATACACATATATGGAGATCTTAAAAAAACAACAACAACAACAACATGTTTCCTGGTTGAAAGAGAAACACAAATCTATCCGTGAATAACACACATTTTAGAGAAGAGTGTAACAAGCTGGCAGCTAGTTGCCATACATGTAGTCGATTGTTCAGATTGCTACACGTGTTGAACATTTCAGACCGTGGTTATAACTTCCTTGAAGTTGTCTCCTCAATAACCTTTGAAACATTTCAAAATATATATATATATACATATAGATATATATTTTAACGCGTAACGAGGTCACGTGTCAGCAAACCCGCATTGCACGATGATGTCAGGTCACTGGCAGGCTAAAGACCTTGCAACACGCTAGAAATCACCACGTACTTGCACCATATCGAAAATTAATTAACTATGTTACGCTGTACTTCACCAAGTTTTTGTACAGTAAACCCCACCAAGCACCCGTACTCTAGGGAAATTTAAGAGTTCATTTTTGTACGCTACACCTGAGCAGGTTTGTGTACTGGAAACCATGCCAAGTGTTCGCATCCTAGGGAACGTTTTATTTATTTTCTACGCTTTACTTGGACCAAATTTGTGTACTGTTGTAGACCACGCCAAGTATTTGAAAAAACGCAAAGCAATTAGAACTTTAAATAAGATACTATAATGGACGTGTACTCGACAGGTAGGCCGGTTCCAGCACACACACAAAAAAAATAAAATAAAAAACCTGTATTTATTGGAATCTTCCACGAATCTTCTGACCTTGCAGCGCCCTTCATATCAAGCGCAAATAACGGTGAAAGCTGTCCCTGTTAATGGACGGAAGATCTCATCGTCGGGCCACCGTGCCTGCCGAACACGGTTGACATCTGGTTGTGCAAGAATAACTTGCCTCTGTGGCAGCGGTTCTCAACCTGTGAGTAGCAACCCCTTTGTTTTTTTTGGGGGGGGGTTGGGGGTGGGGGGTCCGAACGACCCTTACACAGGGGTCGCCTAAGATCATTGGAAAACATATATTTTATGAAGTAGCAACGAAAATAACTTGATGGTTTCGGAGAGGGGGGGGGATCAAAAAACAATAATAGGAAATGTATTAAAGGGTCGCAGCATTATGATGGTTGAGAACCACTGCTTTAGCGTGCCACTGAACTGAGTCTAGGGTTGCTGCCTAAATAGATTTTCAGAATTTAATATCACCTTTTATGATCTATGGGGTAACATACTACTACATAGGATGCTCTACGCTTCTTAATAAATCATTTCCCCGAGATATTAATTATTTAAAATAAAAAAAAACTAAATAAAAAAAAACTTATCTATTTATATAACTGTTGATTTGGTATTAAAATTTTTATTGTTAAAATTAATTTTATTTTTTTTGGGGGGGGGGGGTTGGGTGGAGGGTGGGGGGGGGGGGGTGGGGGTGGGGGAGATCAATTAAAAAGATATAATTGGAAACAAATTTATTTAAATGGGTGTATTGGAGAGCGGAGTAGTGGTGATTGGTGTAGTGGTGGTGGGTGAAGGAAGTTTGGCTGTTTTGGAGGAGGGTGCAGTGAAGATGGGTGCCATGGAGGGGAGGTGTGTGCAGCGAAGGTAGGTGCAGTAAAGACTGATGTAGAGGTGAATGTAGTAAAATGGGTGTAGTAGAGCTGGGAGCAGTGGAGCGATGTGTAGTGTTGATGGATGAGGAAAAAATTGGGTGTAGTGGAAAATTGACGACGATGAGGTTACTTTTCTCGATGCCATTCATTTTGAATGATTTGCAGTTCGAGTCGCTGTCAAATAATCAAGGGACACAGATTTATTACTGGGAATGATCTTTTCTTCAAATAAACAATAATTTGAGGAAATAAAACTGTTTATTACCTGTGTGTATTTTAACTTTTGCCGTCACGCATACCACAGTGGCGTAGGAAAGTGGATGTTGGGGGGGAGGTGGAGTGCAGTCCGTAACGGGCTGTATCATTTTGTCCCCCTTGATATGGTGGGGGCGAAATGCAGAGTTTTTCTTCTCGTGGAAAGGGCATTTGCAAAAAAATCACGACCTGTCACCGTTCTGCGCCTACCACTGCTACAACACTGCTACGCAACTGCTACGCAACTGCTACGCCACTGACCCTGTCGACAGGCTTCCACAAATGTAACAAGTGTAGGTCATTGATTCAGTTAAGATCACAACGGTGACTGTCATTAACAATGTCACTCAAGTTGAACGGGGACATTGCGTGACATAGACACACTGTTGTTCACTTACAAGGAGTCGTCCTGTCTTCATTCAAGCATATCGACGTTCGTGGCGTCAAATTATGTAACGGAGGGGAGAAAAAAAACCTGACATTACAGAGGAGATATGAAAGGTCAAGAACTAGTAACAAACATGCCATATATATATTAATACATATGAGAGGAAGTATAATTTTTATAAATATAAATTTGTGGCTTTGTAGACCTTATTTTTCGGAGTATCGTTATGTGCACGCGTGCTTTAGGAAATTTGTGTAATACTAATATTCATGTTTGAACTCTCGAAATAAATAGCAAAAGCAATGTCTAAGGCGCAGGGGAAAGTGGGTTGGCTTTCATCTCTAAAGTGAGGAAAAGGGGGGGGGGTAGTAGACGCCCCTGATAAAAAGTGTGAACATTTTTTCCACACCTTCGTAACGTCTAAATTCGTTCCTAAACGCATTTTATGTCATATGATGTCATTTTATGTCATTTTATGTCAGTTCGGCTTTCTGCCTCCAGAATGTATCTGAACGTCTCTATGACGTAGAGCTGTAGCTAGCCGGGGTCGGCGTGAGACGTCTCTGAAGCTATCATACTATTCTCATTAAAATTTGGATGAAATCGCGTGTCACACATTCTTGTTCACTCAAATACAATTTTTGTGGAAACGGTTGAGATTTTTTTTTTATGTGTGTGGGTTTGCTGTAGGTCAAGGTCGTTTCTTCCAGTTTCTTCAACAGTGCCCTCAGCCCGTCTCAAAAATGTTATGAAAACCAATTGGCCATGTCGGATTTCAATTTAAAAAATAATAATTCCGGTTTAATCTATGCAAAGATCTTTGAAATTCTCGTTTAAAAAATAAATGAACACATTTAAAAACAAATCTAGAATATTGAACGTCTTTTAAAATTTTTAATTGAATACTAATATGTAATAATTTTTAAAATGATCTATTTTTAAAACATTTAAAACAAGCAATAAACAATTTAAAATTAACATATAAGGATATTAGAAATAATAAACAAGTGGTAAAAGGGACAGATGCAAAAAATACAAAAAAAAAACACAAAAAAAACCACCCAATAAATGCTGCTTCAGCATAATAAATAATGTCAGAACCACTGGTGGCATTCAGCTGCAGATTGAGAAAATTTTTAGGCTTTTTAATATTGTGACATAGGAAGTGCATACATCTTTAGAATACGAATTTGTATATATATATATATACATAACGAAAAAAGCCTGAACAAAATATTTTTTTAACGTACATATAAATAATACCATTATTGTCTAAAGTGTTTCAGTTTCATAGACTCTAAGAATGATACATCACAAAGTTCAATCTCAATACAATCGCTGTCAAACCTGTTACGCACTGACTTGTATGGGGAGAAATTAATCTCCTATTTTAATTTTAATTGGCTCGTTGTAAGCAGTGCCTAACAAAGGACGACACCATAGAGTCAACAATATTAAAGATACGACCCAAAACAGTTTCTAGTTACAATTAATAAGATTTAATAAGTATTAATGTAATTACAAAAGAAAAGAAATATCATTACAAATCTTCAACTTACAGTATGGTAGATCTTGTACCGGTACACAGTTAACACAGTTAGAATAATGTGTCAATGAATAATGATGAAATGCGAAATAAACACATATGAGTATGAGAACACAAATATAAAAAGAATAATACACGTCTCGTAAAGTTAATAATTTCTATCTGAATCTCCGTCCTTTCCGAGCCTGTCAATCGACGCGTAAGCCCTGCCTTCGAGAAGCTACATAGCATTTCTAGAACAATCACAATCATTCTACAAAATACTATTTGGAACAGATTAATTATTTTTAGTGGCTGTCGGCATCAACACGACAGATCAAAAGACTAAGCCACACCCATCTGTGAACACAGCGTCTCATGCGGGTTCAATCAGAGTGCATGCACGAGAAAAATTATATAAACAAGCTCTATATAACAATATAAAGTGCGTTACTTGCATGCATGTTTTATCAAATTTTCAGCCCCACCCCCATTGCTGGATATTAAATTTTATAAAGTAAGGGTGTTTAATTAAATCAAAAATTTGTTGATTTATTTGGAATAAACGTCTACAACCATTATAGAAGAAGTCATAGAAGGTAAAGAAACATCATCATTGAAGAATGACAATGTTATAAATATAATTGTAAATATTACAACTACAGAAGAAAATGAAGAATTCAAAATGCCTATGTTAGAATTAGACAAGAAAGAAATGATAGAGAATATTATAAACTTATCCAAGGATATACCTAAAGAAATCAGACTCAATCTAAAATTTATATAATTATACTATATTACAAAAATACAGTTGAACTATTACAAATACACCAGGCAACACAGAAGTAATAACACATGAAATTAGAGTAACATGATATTACATTTAAGATCAAGCCATATCAGATACCTTATCACTACAGAAATGCTGTAGAGTTGTCATTGTAAAGAAGAAAAATGAAAAAATTAGACTGTGTTGTGATTACATAAAATTAAACCAAGTTACTTTGATGTACAGAGAACCTTTGCCTAATACAGAGGATCGATCTTATCAATAAATAGCAAGGAACAATATATTTACACATGTAGACTTAAAAAGAGGTTACCGGTATTGGCAAATCAAAATAGAAGAGGAAGCTAAACACTTCACAGCATTTGTAACACACAATGGTTTTTATGAGTGGAAATGTTATGCCATTTGGGCTAGTAAACAGTACTGCTACATTTGTAAAAATGATGAACAGGATCTTAAACAAGATACCAAATATTAGACACTATGTTGATGTCATATGTGCGTTCATTAAAGACTGGACAACACATCTAACAACCTTAGAAGAATTTTTTTTCATTATTAAAAGATCACTATATCACCTGACAAATTAAATATTGGACTAAAAAGATTTGATTTTTTAGGTTATATCATAGGAAATAATCAAATTAAATCTACTGAAGAAAATATTGAATTTGGCAATACCAGTGAACAAGAAACAAGTTAGAGCATTGATAGGACTGTGCAATTTCTACAGACAGTTCATACAAAATTTTGCCCAGATTTTACATCCTCTAGTTAAATTGACAAGAGAGGATCAAAATAATAAAGTAGAATGGAATCAAGAATGTGATGCAGCTTTACAACACATAAAATTACAATTTTAATCAGATCCAATCTTAAAGCCAATTACATATGAAAAACCATTAATTGTAGCAACAGATGCTTCAAGAGAAGGCATAAGAGCTATGCAATCATACTATAATATTAATAAAATTGTTTTATACATTAGCAGAAAATTGACAGATGCTGAAAAGAAATATGCCATTATAGAATTAGAATGCTTAGCAATAGTGTGGGCTATAATTCAACTACAACATTCACATTACCGGTATTGGTAGAATATAAGCCACGACTAAATTGCAACAAAAACAAAGTCAATAATGCTGGGTTACTCAATTTGCTTTAATTTTGCAAGATTATAAATTAGAGTTTAAGTCAATCAAGGGAGTGAATAACCACTTGCCAGACATTTTATCCAGAATGATTGATAACAAATAGTTCAAATTATATCTAGACAGTACACATTATTTTAAAATAAAAATATTACACTGCAAAAATAACAAAGGATTTTTTATGGACACAATGTCGACAATGGAGATTGAACAATTTGTGTACAATTGTAATTTACAAGTTTAGCAACAATTTTGTTTGCAAGTACAATTTTGGTATTTAATTATATGACATAATGATGTTTTGAGATGGAAATGAGATATGTTTATAATAGTTTTTATTGACATATAACATTTTTCTTAAATAGAGTGTACGTATTTTAACTTAACACTTAATGGATGGTCATTATGATGAAATTCATTACCTATGAATGGTGATGTAATATATTTTATAAAATTCTTGCGATATCAATTTAAGACGTTTAATTTGTTATGTTGATAATTATTTGACTTGGATGTTACTATATGTAAATAATTATAAAATTTGTTAAAAAAAATTTTCCTACTATTTTTTTAAATGAAGAGGGAGGGTGTCACAGATATGAATATATGGGAAATAAGTAATATGGGAGTTATTAATTATGTAATATACAGAGTATATAACACGCACTATAAATCTTCATTTAAGCTAAACGTTTTCTGTTCAATCCATCTTCCTACACAAACTTCGTGAATTCAACCGTTATATTATTCAAGTTAAAGCTCTAGTTTGTCGCCGTGTTAGTTGTCTAGTTTTATCTAAGTCCCAATACTCTGTATATTACATAAGTAATAAATTATCTCCCATATATTTATATCTGTGACAACAGTATTTTATTTTTAAAAAACTTTTAATAATGAAATAATTTTATTATTTATTAACATGCCAAATTTCAACAAATTTTAATAATAATCCTAATTTAGGATGCATTTTGGCTGATTTGCATCAATGGAATGTCTACTCATTTCAGTATGTAAAAGTTCCTACACACTCGATGTGATGTGAACTTATTATTCAAACCTTAATAAATGGCCAAAAATCTATTATACTTGCATTTTCCCTACTCATTGTTCTTATAAAATATTTATTTAGAAAAATTGTTTCAACATTAAAATTATGACGGGGGCAATTAACTCATTACTATCATTTGGCCTATGTTTTCTAGTCCTTCATATAGTGGCAGTATTTTATTTCAGTTGACGTTATGCAATTTCAAATATTGTACTTGCTTACTATAGGGTTGGTCATTGATTCAAGTGCCGTTCTGGAAAAAGCAATCACTTCATTATCATTCATTGTTTAAAATAAGTTAACTTGATACTTATCTGAACTTCTAATAGGAAAATACAACCGCCCATATGAATAGCATAGTAAAACATGATCCATCCTCACTCTATTATTAGTTTGAAAATATAATATGTAGCACTTGTTAAGCTTTTACTGTAAAACATTAATATCTCCCAATAAATCGATAATGCCCTGGCCACCATGTCAAACAAACAAATAGAGTTCTTATATGCAAATAAAAGTGACAGTTAAACTATTTTTATTAATGAAATATTTTAAAATGTATGCCACACTCTTCTTTTTAAGCAAGAAGGATCATTGTGTGCCCAGCACTGCCTCAATGCTTTATTACAAAATCAGTACTTCAGTGCAGTTGATTTGGCACAAATCGGCCAGAGATTGGATGAAAGAGAAAGAGACAGGATGGCAGAAGGTGGCATAGGAACTAATGAATATCAAAGATTTATCGAGGTGAGCTTACTTTTCATAACTTATTAGTTTTTGCCATACATTTTTTGCACTGAAAATATTAATTGTATTTAGGTAATTACTTTTTGCCATACATTTTTTGCACTGAAAATATTAATTGTATTTAGGTAGTTGTAGTTATATTTTTAAAATGTATACTTTATATATTTTAAAGTAGATACTGATCTTCCATTGATCGCCTCCTTAGGTGGCGAATAGCGGAAAGCCCACTGGTGGGTACTGGGTAAATAAAATACCTTACCTGAAAATTAAGGCAGCTACCTAGATAGCTGTAAGGGGAAGCCCCCCAGACAGTTGTGCGCAGGGCTAACAACCTGGCAATGTAATTAAAAAAAAAAAACGTTACAAAAGCCAAACAAAAAAATTAAATCCGGACTGATTCTAATGAAAATCAACCTATGCCTGGATATAGACATGATTTTGGAATGCGACTTGGAAGGTACTAAGCCTGTTTAGAGCAGGAGCTTTAGCCAACCTTGTAAATCAACTGGTTAAATATAAAATATCATCCATTGCTGCATTGCAAGAAATTTGATGGAAAAATTCAGACATCCTCAAAACAAAAGACTACACTATATTTTATAGAGGCAACAACACTAACACACTTTTGCTGTTTGAACAGGATTTGCTGTGAAGAAAGAAGTTTCTGTGCATTCATAGGTTTTAAACCAGAGAATGCAAGTTTGTTCTCTTTGCATGTGAGGAAAAATGTTTAATATAACATTTATAAATCTTTATGCTCCACCGAAGATGCAGAAGGTCAGATAAAAGAATCCTTTTATGAGCCTTTATTAAATTAGAAGACATGGGTCTACAAGCAGGGCTGAAACTTACCAACCAAAAGACAAAATACAAGGCTATGGTAAGAGAAGAGCAGACGGATAAAACCATTAAAATTATAAAACACACTTTTGAAAAAGTAAATCAATTCAAATACCTAGGATCTTTATTAACTAATATCCTATTTAAGACCTGTGTTTAAAAGAAGAAAATTTTTTTTTTATTTGTTAAGTATAGTTCACCATATAGGGTTAAATGAAAGAAATAATTACTAACAGAAATAAAAGAAAGAAAATCGGCCAGAAACGGGGCAGACTTCAGTTGTCAGAAAATGCTCAAAAGGAAAAACATTACATGAGAAACAAAGAAAACTGTTCATAAAACTGTAATAAGGCCAGCTGTAACATCTAAGTGAAACTTGGACTCTATTAAAAACGGCAGCAAATCAATTAACACCTAAGAAAGAAAAGTTCTCTGGAAAATATATGGACCAACAAAGGATGAATATGGATAGAGAATACAAACTCGGCAGGACACTTAGAAAGTAAGCCAAATGGCAGAGGAGTGAAGAAGGTAAATCACCAAAACCCCAGAGGAAAACGGCTCAAAGGCAGACCTAGACTTAGATGGATGGATGATGAAAAACGGGGTAGGCTACACTCGGCAGGACACTTAGAAAGTAAGCCAAATGGCAGAGGAGTGAAGAGGGTACATCACCTAAACCCCAGAGGAAAACGGTTCAAAGGCAGACCTAGGCTTAGATGGATGGATGATGTGGAAAAAGATCTACAGCAGCTGGGAACCCAAGCATGGAAAAAGAAAAGCATCAGTTCGGTCTGAGTGGAAGGAAGTGATGAGGCAGGCCAAAGACCCACATTTGCCACAGGGATTTACTGTCATTGCACTGACATAGCAGGAAAACTATGATGAAAACAGTTTGTCAGACAAAATTCTAAAGTAAATCCTTGTCTTGACAGCCTCTTACTATAGTGTGGTCAGTGCTGTACTATAGTGTGGTCAGTGCTGTTCTATAGTGTGGTCAGTGCTGTACTATAGTTGCGTCAGTGCTGTACTATTGTGTGGTCAGTGCTGTACTATAGTGTGGTCAGTGCTGTACTATAGTGTTGTCAGTGCTGTACTGTAGTGTGGTCAGTGCTGTACTATAGTGTGGTCAGTGCTGCTTAGTAATATATAAATACACTCTAGACAGCATCTGGTTGTACAGAAATAACATCTGGTGGCACAAACAGTTCTTGGTCTGACATATTTTATAATTAAAACCATTCTAATCTTCATACAATTATGGTCTGTCCCAGACTGAGAGAATATTCACTTCGTATTCATTTCATACATTTGCAGGAACCATCAAGTAATTATGATGACAGTGGATTTTTTTCTGTACAAGTTATAACAGAAGCTCTTTCTGTGTGGGGATTAGATATAGTTCTATTCAACAGTCAGGATCCTGTGGCTGTACAGGCCAGGGAAGATCCAACGTAAGTTATTGTTAGATTCTTTTCATTAGAGAATTTTATAATTACATCTTTCAGTCAAAATTATTATAGATTTAAACTGAAGTTTTCTCATCATTTTATTGTAATATTAATTAAAATTTTCATGAATGCAATTCTTTTTTTTCTTTTTCTTAAGGATTTCCCTCCCATTGTTTCCTTTTCTTGTAATCCTACAGGCAAATGTCAGCCCCCCAATGTTTTCTTCTAATCCTACAGGCAAATGTCAGCCCCCCAATGTTTTCTTCTAATCCTACAGGCAAATGTCAGCCCCCCATTGTTTTCTTCTAATCCTACAGTCAATTGTCAGCCCGCCATTGTTTTCTTCTATTTTCTTGTAATCCTACAGGCAAATGTTAGCCCCCCAATGTTTTCTTCTAATCCTACAGGCAAATGTCAGCCCCCCAATGTTTTCTTCTAATCCTACAGGCAAATGTCAGCCCCCCATTGTTTTCTTCTAATCCTACAGGCAAATGTCAGCCCCCCATTGTTTTCTTCTAATCCTACAGGCAAATGTCAGCATTTATTTGTAATTACCTCCAGCATTGGTTCTGTGTACGTAAACTAGGACGGCAGTGGTTTAATTTAAACAGTTTGCTTTCTGGTCCGGAGTTGATATCTGACACATATTTGTCATTATTTCTTACACAGCTGCAACAGGAAGGTAAGTCCATTGTTTGTTTTAAGTTTTTATAATCATTTGCTGGAAGAAAATTGAGGTCATTGGATCTGCTTTAATTTTAAAAATGAAAAATGATTTTGAACCATTATGTTGTATGGTTACGGTTTGTTTTCCAAGATGATATTAAAATAATGAACTACAGTATTTACTATTGGATAATTTGCACCCTTATTTTGGTCTTGTCAAGTGGGTATCACAGAAATGATTCCTATAACAACTTGAAAACTGAAAAGCAATTGTCATTAACTTCATGATTATTAATCACATAAAGAGAGGATTCTCCGACATTTAGTATAAGTGACAACTACACACTGAATAACTGTAAGCCAAATTGTAATTGATTGTAATGGTGTGGTATTTACTAAACAATTATTGGGCTGCTCTGTTTAGACCAGGGGTGACCAACCTTGTGGCTCATGGCCCAAGATGGCTATGAATGCGGCCCAACAACACAAACATGAACTTACACATTTTATGAGATTGTGACTAGAATGCCATTACTAATAATACAAACTAAATTATGATAAAACGACTTTCTTGGCCATTTTGAAAACATCTGGTATAGCTACTGATGTGCCCCGCTTGTCGCTGCATAATACGGACACAATAAAATGAATGCGCAAAAGCTTTAATGATGGATAACATCATACAGATTGTCATCAAGGCTGAAGATTACATGTTATAAGGTTAAGATTAGGTAAAATGTTAACAAGATTTGCGAAATGAAATCAAGTCACTTATGGAATCAAATATGTGCCATAACTTGACAATGGAAACTGGCTAACATATCTGGCACTTTTAGCAGACTTGACAGCTCCTTAAAATGCATGAAAAATGCATCTTCAAGGTAAAAACCACCCGGTCAGTAAAATGTTTGAAATTATAACGGAGTTTGAAATAAAACTGAATTTATGGCCATATCAAATAAAACAAAAAATTTTATGCATTTTGATCCTTTGGCTAAACACGATTCTGTGAACAGTGAAAACTATGCAGCCTTGCAGTTTGATTTGATGCAGAGATTTCCAGAAAAAACTTCAATCTTTTGGTATATTTGTAACTCCTTTGTCAGGTGACATAATCATATTACCTGCCAATTTTCAAATCGAATGCATAGAGCTACACTCTGACATGCATAGAGCTACAAGCTGACATGCGCTCTGATAGTGATATTCAACTTTTAAAAAAAATTTGATCATATCTCTTTATTGGACTTTTGCTATTTTGACAGTGACTGTAATGGCCATGATCTGTAATTAAAATTATTTATTTTCAGGGTATTGCATATTTATAGTGGTGGGTAACCTTCCTGAGTGCGAAGCTGACCAACTGTTGAGACTAATGCCAGCTGTTCAGACAGTCAAACCTCGCCTGGTCAATGAGAAGGACGCCGATATTGACGATGGGGCTGAAGTTGATGAAGATGACAAAGCATTTAAAGAAGCCTTGAGGGTTAGTAAGGAACTTCTGGATAGTGATGACACAGCCCTTCAGCGAGCGTTGCAAATGAGTATGGAAGGTAATGATTGTACCCTAACAAAAGTGCATGTTTTTAACATTCTTTTTATTACACTTGATATTAGCCTAATTTCACCAGATTCCACCAGAGAGCTGAAATTTAGTTAAAAGATAATCCTTGACTGTCAGTTAACACTCTGTAGCTGCCCCTAATTCCCAAATGCGCTTGCCAATTATGGCTGAACGGTGACATGAAATGCGGATTGTTATGTTGGACGGTCACTGGGGGCACCCAGCAACTTACATACTTCACCTAAAATTTTCTGCCGCTCCCATAGGAATGACTCTATTTTGCATTTGTGAAGAAATCTCAGTTTTTTTATTTTCTTTGGTTAAAAAGTTATGAGAGTTCAAAGTTCATCATGGCCTACTCAAATGCATCTAAAAAAATAGCGTTTTTTACAGTAAATAAATTGATTTGTTGTCATTGACAAACTTTTGCAAGATTTCCGTATCATCAATGTGAAAGTAATTTTTTAAATTTTTCTTCACAGGATACATGGAGGAATATTCTCAACTGAAACTCTCCACTCCAACTCCAACCATTTCTAATCACGGAGCTTCAACTTCAAGCTCAGATGACCAACCAGCAACCCAAGAAGAGCTAAGACGGAAGAGGATGGCTTTTCTCAACAAACAGGCCTCAAATACTGGTTTAGAATCAGAAAGTAGAGCCATCAGTGCTACAGATACAGGCCAAGCTGACCCCCACAGTGCTACAGATACAGGCCAGGCTGACTCCCACAGTGCTGCAGGAGGTCAATTATTGTCTTATCAACCTTATACTATTGTGCTTAAAATAATGTCTCACTTTCTCCTAGTCTCATAAATCAGAGACCTCAGTTTTTTTTTTATTTCTCAAATCTGTCATTAGTGTCATTTAAAAGCTCTACAAAAAATTTAAAAGTCCAAACCCCCCCCCCTCCCCAAGTGGCTGGGGGGGGGCACTACCTCAATCATTTTTAGCTAAAAGATAAGTTACATTGTGAATTTTGAAAATGTTTAAAAATATAAAGAGTAGCAATTTTACTTGTTAATACACATTTTCAGACCTTTCTGAAGAAGAACTTCTCAAGCAAGCAATAGCTATGTCCATGGAGCACAGTTGATAAAGTGACAGTAATCTCCCCTGATACAAAATCTGTGATAAACATCATAGTTGAAGCATCTTGACATTTCATTCTTGTCTTGTTGTCAGTGTGCCGTTGGTCAGGGCACATCATTGACATACAGGTAGCCTGGGCCAGATTATGTTGTCTCTCCCCACCATGCAAACATTCAACCAACAGAGAAAGTAACATCAAGCTTTGATACATAAACATTACCTGAAAATAGTTTCACAGAAATAAAACAGACGTTGACTTTTTAAAATGGTTTGAGCAGATCAGTGGTTTTTCTAATTGTAAATATAGAGGCATGTTGTTATTCTGTTTTAGTACCATGCACTTAAATGTCAGGTGAACAAAAATGTTGATCATTTTAAATGGCGATTTCTTTGTATGAATCGAAGGACTATTTCTGAAAGATGATTTGTTGATTACAATAACAGCATCAGCCGGGTTTACTTGGGCTGTTATTTGGATGCCAGAAAACAGTGAAGCGTAAAACCTTGACATTTAGAATACCGGGTACATATAGATCAGTTACTGGTACTTAATAATATTTTTTATATATTCCTTCATGGAGCATTTTGAGAACTTGTACGCAATGTAAGTTGGAGTCCTTTTACCTTTACAACCTTATGAGGTCAGAAAACCTTGAAAAGATGCCATCTTTGTTTTTTCTCGTAATTAAGGCCAAAACACGAAGTACCTATAATTTTACTATTTCAACTAAACAAAATAATTCCTAAATAAATATTGCTAAACTTGGATGTGTTCATTTCCTGCCTCTGTATTAGTAGAACATTTATACAGATCCAGATAAACTGACTTGTAGGGTGAAAATCACCATTTAATAAATAGTTTTCCTGAAACTCAAATTTTGTTACTCGTTATTTCTGGACAATGACAAAAGATTGTACTTTTCCTGTTTCAAGCCCTTTTAGCTAAGCAAAATATTTTTCCCCCCTCTCACTCCATCTTCTTTCAAACAACTGTCAATGTCTTTTTAATGCTACTGACATGCCATGAGGCCGAGACACTTTCAATAACTAATGACTTAAGACCTATTAACATTACAGTACCCAAACTTTTTGGATTACATTTAAATAAAATTTACAAATATTAATCTAATGAAATAGCAATAACAGGTTTACAAAACTTTAAAAGATTTTTCAAATATTTAATTATTTCACCAAGAATTTATGGTTTTATGTAATTAACCTATGCTTTTATTTAGTTATCAAATCAATCCATTGAAATAGATCTTTTATTTTGTATCTCTGATACTGATAAGTTTGTGGACAAAATGTATGATTTTAATTATGTATAGATTTATTTTAGACATTATTTAAATGTCATGATAATGTCTCTTTTGATAATAGTTTTATGTACAGCGTGGTGAGCCCAGCCCTAGGCTGGGGTACCGCACTATATAAGACCACTGTTTATTATTATTATAAGCAAAATAAGTCATATTCTATAGAATAATATGAGGGACTGCATTCAAGCCCTGTTAAGTAATTATTGGAATAAGGTCTATTTAGACTAGCATTGTCTTTTTCAAGCCTGAACATATCTTATTCCATATTTAATAGTTTCAACATTTCTGTTAATAAATCAGTCACTCTGCCAGCTTTTAAAGGGCATCCAAAAGAGTATCATTTTACAAACCCCCCCTTCCCTATGGCTTCTCCCTATTTGTGGGAATCCACTTCACATGATTTTTGTTCAAAACCTTAACTATTGATTCGATTTAAATACTAGCATTGTAAACTTAATTTGGTTCCATCATTTGTACACATATAATTACAGCCACCTTTGTCAGTTTTAGTAACATATATGTTGTATGGTAATATTCATATTTTAATGATGTTTTAGAATTAAAATAATGTTCAATAATTTGTAAGCACTCATGCAACTAAAGTTACAAGTCTGGAATTAATGCAAGTCATTTGTTCTAAAAATCATATTGCCAGTTTAGTTCCACTGAAATGGAAGCTCAGATCTTATAGATTAAATAACATACAAAATAGGTCCAATGCGGCTGTTGTGATACAGTATACATCTAGACAATAAGTAACTAACAAAATAGGTCCAATACGGCCATTGTAACAGCATACATCTAGATGACATACAAAATAGATCCAATACAGTTGTGATATAGAAGACATCTCGTTTGTCCGTCGAGTCATCCGGTTGGGGGAGGGTGGGTTACGGTGAGCTCGTAGGTGGCTTGCTAGTCTGATCCGTGCTCGGAATAATCTCTGGCACAGTGGACAAGGGATAGTTGCTACGGTTGGTGATCTAATATTGCTCTTTCGGGCTAGCCTGCGTGTCTCAGTTGTGTTTATCCTACCGGCTTCATGAGAGCTTCTTGACAGCTGCCCTCCACCTGGGCTGTCTGCACCCATTGAGTAGTGTTGATCCTCCACCTGGCCCTGTCCTGGGCTGTCTGCACCCATTGAGTAGGGTTGATCCTCCACCTGGCCCTGTCCTGGGCTGTCTGCACCCATTGAGTAGGGTTGATCCTCCACCTGGCCCTGTCCTGGGCTGTCTGCACCCATTGAGTAGGGTTGATCCTCCACCTGGCCCTGTCCACCTGGCCCTGTCCTGGGCTGTCTGCACCCATTGAGTATTGTTGACAGCTGTCCTCCACCTGGCCCTGTCCTGGGCTGTCTGCACCCATTGAGTAGGGTTGATGCTGGAGGCCTTTACTGCAGCTCTCAATGAGTCTTTGTAACACTCTTTTTGACCTTGTGAGCTCTTGCCTATCGTGAGTTCTCCGAAGAATATCTGTTTTGGGACCGGTGGTCAAGACAATAAGTAACTAAAAATATGTCCAATACGACCATTGTGACAGTATATATCTAGACCAGGGGGTCTCAAACTCGCAGCCTGCGGGCCCTTTGCGGCCAGCAAGACGATATTTTGCGGCCCGCTACATGACAGCAAAGTTTAACAAGTCAAAGTTCAGGGCGAATCTTGATGAGCATCTTCAAACTATACTGAGGGTTGCTTCCTCATTCAAGCCATATGTTGCTCAGCTTTGTAAGAAGAAGCGCTGCCAGGTCTCCGGCAACTAGGAATTGGAGGGAGAAAGTGAAGCCTAGTTCTTGAGAACCCTTAATGTTTTTATTTAGTTATTAATAAAGGTTGAGGAGATTGTAACAGTTGTACTTTATTGAATTTGTAATCACATTTTTTTTTACTTGATGCGGCCCAGTCTCACTCAGACTCTACCTCCTGCGGCCCCCGGATGATTTGAGTTTGAGACCCCTGATCGAGACAATCACCTTCAAAGAATAAATTTCTTCCATAAATCAATTGAATATATTTCATTACCTAATCCTAAGAACAGAAACATGCTGTGACCTGAAAGTCCAGTACATGCTGTGACCTGAAAGTCCAGTACATACTCATGAGACTTTAAAAAGTTAAATGGCTGAAAATCACTCCTTAACCAAAATAAACTCATGTAAATTTGTGACAGTGGCAATAATGGGAAAATCTTAAATGTCAAGCTGATTTACTGACCCAGGGTAGTTATCAATATCTCTTTCATCTTAAAGTTTAATATTTTAAGTATAGGTATTTAAGATTTTACTACTTTCTATTAAATTAATTGCACTATTTTGCAGCCAGTGGAAGAAATGTGGAAAGAAGGCAAAACAAAATGCTAATTTATTGTTCTCATTTAAATTAATCATGATCTCAAAATATTTTATACTAAAAGTAAATATTTTATAAGTTATTAATAATTTAAATAATTAATTATCATATAATATAACATGTTGGAAATTACATATTTTTTGGTAATAACTTTTAATAAGTATTTAGAGAAAAAAAAAACAAAATGAAAACAGTTTCATGGTTGAACATCATTTATTCTAAAGTGACTTTTCAATATTACACGGTAACAGAAAAAAGTGTTAACATATGCATAATAAAAATAAATTCAGTTACACTTATAAAAAAATTATTTATTTTAATACACTCAAAAGACCTTTTAAAATGAATTGGGAAAATTGGATAATTTACTTGCTTCCCATTTTTTATGCTTAGTATAAAGTGGATTATGATTTGGTATTAAATCCACATGCTTATATTTCAGGTTTTCAAAATGCTACAGAGATTTCATTCACAGATTAATTTTTTTTTATTTAGAGAATTCTTCCTCGTTAATTATTTAATATGTAGTGAACATTTAAACTGGAACATAAAAAAGATGGATGTATAACTATATTTAATATGTAGTTAACATTTAAATTGGACATAAAAAGATGGCTGGATAACTAGATTTAATTAATAATCTGTAATGAACATTTAAATTGAAACATAAAAAAGATGGACGTGTAACTTCCATTTTAACAGTGCGTTTTAAAGCTGTGCAGAAAATTACTATCATCATAATAAATTTTTTTTTATTTAAACAATTTCTTTAATTTTCATAATAATTGATGGACTGCATTCAAGTTGTGTAAATGAAATTTAAGAACACGGTGGTATGCAAAACTTGAATTCATAAACATGACAAAAGATTTTGATGAAGGCTCTAAGCATGAATTCAAGTTTGGCATACCTTGATCTTATAATTCTTTAATTTCCAACTTTTAGAACAAATGATACCAATAGTTATTTTCAGGTGAAAACAATTTCTAAAATTAAAATTTGTACAGCAAGCTAGCAGAGCCACTCTTCTGGTGTGTCCTGCTTTCTTTTCACAACGCGCCCTCCTCCTACTCATCATGTTTTATATTAATAGTACTGAGTGAAAAAAAAAAAAGCTATCAAGAAGCGAGCGTCATGTGTGGTATTGGTTGACATCAGGTAGAAAGGTGGGTTTTTTTTAAAGGCGACTATTATATTAATCAATAAAGAGCCATGGGTCTTGTGTAGGACTGTCCGTAAGACTATTGTGCAAATGTTGTCAGGTAGGGTGTAGGACTGTCTGTAGGCTTATTGTTTATAGAAAATGAGGTTACGTTTCAACTCTTTTTTTTTGTAACACTGGACCCACCAGGTATTTTCTAATAATACCTGGACCCGATCTAAAAAAACTGCACCCGGTTAAGCCATAGTATTTAAAATTTATTTACAATTGCACATAAGATAAGTCAATTTTTTTTTACTAAAGTTTTATTCAACTTATTTCTATTTTTTATTTTCAAAAGTGCTTCCAAGAATTTTTAGTTTAGTGCCCATTTTGACTTGTGAGTACCGTATCCACTGCTACAATTTAAAGTGTGGAGATATGTTATTATATACTAAAGCCTTCCTAGTGAATAAATATTCAGTCTTGACAAATCCACTGAAGAATCCAGCAAGCTGTATGCATTGTAAGCGTAAGAGCTTTAGATCTTCCATAAAGCTATAAAATAAAATTAAAAAAACAAAAAGTATAAAATTAAGAAACTCTTCACCATGCGTTAGTTTTTTCTAATTAATATGTTTCTGGAGTTTAAAATGTGCCCCCCCCCTCCACCAGAACAAAAGGTATTTTACCGTAATAGTTAATTTCCTTTTAAGCTTCTTTGGCTAGCATCTAGATCTATCTCTACAGGAACAGGCTTATGAAGCTATAAATATAAATAAAAAAAATAATCATTTAAAATAAAAATGACAATGTCAAAAATCCAAAGATTGTACAGTAAAAGTTTATGTTAAAACATTATTTGCCTCTGGGTGTTCCTTGCAGCAAAATAATCATTAATTAAAGCCAGTGACTTTAAAAGATTCAAATATTTTTCAGTGCAAGAAGTTTATAAGAAGTTTTTAGGTTACCGCAGCTGAGATATCAACCCATTGTAAAGCTCTATGGATAGAATCATCAGGCGTTGGCGTTTTATCAAGGTTCCAATGAGTGAATTTGTCAAATCTATGAATGGCTGCTAAGTTTCTGTCTTCATCCTCTGTGGATCTCTTGTGATGTTCTTTCACAACTAAACCTAAGCAAAGGTCATTTGAAATTAGTGACCATATTTTATATATATATATATTATATATATATATATATTTATAAATATATATATATTTATATATATATATATATCTCTATATATATATTTATATATATATATATATATATATATATATATATATATATATATATAT